GGGGGAGGGGGGGGGGAGCCCGCCGGGGCGTGACCATATATACATACATATATATATATATATCCCAAGCCTCCATTTCCGTTTCATTGTCCTGGTCTCAGTTCAGAAGCATGTTGAGAGTGTCGGCGTTAGGGGGGGATTAATGGGTCTGCCCCACTTGCCCCACATGACCCACTTGACGCACTTGCCCACTTGCCCCTCTTGCCCCACTTGCCCCACTTGACCCACTTTGCCCCACTTGACCCACTTGACCCACTTGCCCCACTTGCCCCGCACCGAGTGGAGCGTACGGGGCGAGTGGGGCGAGTGGGGCGAGTGGGGCGAGTGGCGTGAGTGGGGCGAGTGGGACGAGTGGGGGCGAGTGGGGCGAGTGGGGCGAGTGGGGCGAGTGGGGCGAGTGGGGCGAGTGGGACGGGCCGCGTTAATTTCCCCCCCTGCGGTCGCAATGAGCATGTTGCACATTGTCGCTTTCATCTGCAAGGACTTTGCGCAAAAGCTGTTTCTCGGGAAGTCCCTATCACACCCAATGACGGATACGTAAAATCTTGCTGAGTTCGTGCAGGAAGTTGGAAAATAGCGCCGTTCACATGACTTCTACGAGCATGTTGATGTCGGAAGCTCGGCAACGTGAAAAGAACCTAAAAGCAATGAAGATGGCTTGATCGAAGATGTGCGTTGGGCTCGATTTTCATTGTCCGACTGTCGGCTAATATACATAACATCTACATCCCCACACAGGAACTTGATGACTGTCGCATTGTGACGTATTTTGTTTTTTTTCGTGCTTAGGTCTACCTTGAAACCACTGCACTTGAAGATAGGTGAATCATCAGCAAGCATGTAGCAGCAGTTGCTTCAGACCATTCCGACGTGCGCGGTCTTCGAGCCTTCAACGGCGAGATCTTCCACAATGCCTCTGCAGGTCTTTGCACCTTGCAAGTCACAATTACTACACATAAAGCACGTCTGATGCGGCGTGCATGTGAATGTCCCCTGAGGCCAGGACAAACACTTGCATGAAAGTTGCAATGGCGATCAAGTACATGAAGAAGGGAAATGAGAAATCCTGCCAACTTTGAAAGTTCTCTCTGCTGCGCAAGCTCGACCACAGCAGCTGATTTTACACAGTGTCACTGCAGGCATCTGTCCGGGCCAGTCCACAACTTCATGGCAATGAACTGCATCACGTAGACGCAGTAAGAATAAGACTCCTGAGCGGTGTGCATGCGTGCAGCTTTCTCGGTCTCGATTCCATCATTGAAATTGCTGGTGGCTGATCATGCCAGAACCAATGGCAAGGGGCCAGGAAGTTCAAGCTGGACACCCATTCTGCTAGCCTCAGCAACCGAATCTGAATAGATCCTTCCTCACTCAGACCTTGCAGCAAGCTACACTGAAGAAAGGTCTGCAGCAAAGAGGTCGTGCCTCGGCTGTGGAAATCCTTCAAGTCCCGCCAGTCCCAAAAGGATCGCTGCCTGCGCCGGCACTCGAACACTCAAGCCTTGCCAAGGTTGTTAGCCAGCGGTGTGGGCATTGCATCTTCCGTTATACGTCCATCATCATCCCTGGCTTCATCCTAGCCCGCCGAGGTGCCAACCAGCAATCGTGCACGGGTAGCTAAGCAAAGTTCCGCATACTTCGCACTGCGGGCCGCAGAATCCAAGGCCCAAAGAACTGCACTCTTAACAGGTGATGACATCAGTGGATGATGTTTTTTTATGCGCATAAAACACATCAGCCACTAACAGGTGATGACATCAGGACTTAAAGAAATGACCGCGCTTCTCTGCCAACCCGTCTCGGGCGAGATTTGCAAAGGAGCTGTGACCATTCAAAGGTATGGAAACCAATGTGAACAGGATCCGCCATTCTCTTTCTCGCCCTGACCCGAACGACAACGGCAGCTCTTTGTTCACGGGCGGTTCTACCAGCACGATTTCCCGTTCCGCATCATCTATGCAAGGCTGCCCATATACTAAGAGTGTTGGATGTCAGGTGTGTGTTGAGGTTTCTATCTCTAGCTTTATCAGCAGTCCTTGAACAAGACTGCTTCACGCTGCCCCTTGCATGCATGCTAGACCTGCAACAGCCTTTCCCTTGAATGCCTTGGTAAGCTTGCATGACCACGGTCCCGCCTGCAAAGGCAAGAGTACCAGTATTCGCGCTGAAAGCTTCGCGTATGGTGGGCTCGCAGCAGGCACCGTGAAGACCTTGGACATGCTCCCGTGCTTATTTGGGAGTTTAACAGAATTTTCCTGAGCCTAAGACCAGCAAGAGACCCAAGTAGCCACACGGCGCCAATAGTTCCAGCACCAGAGTCAGTGTCTCAGCAAGGTCTGGACACATTGCAATATGAGCAGAGCACTGCCTGGACGAATCAAATTAGCATGTCGTCACATGGATGTTTATCGCAACTTCAACTGTCAATCGATAGAAGCTTGTCGAGGCCTCTGGCATAAGGGCGTATGAAAAGCAATATGCTAGGATGTGTGATCCCCTGCTCAGGTCATTCCGACCCATGTCACGTACTGCAACGGGCACATGCCAGGGAATTTGGCTTGAAAAGGAGCTTTGTGCTTGACAACACCTACTGTCGTTATATCCTCATTTAGAGTTCTACACAGCGCTGAAACCTTCTATGGGGCACCTCCGGCCTAGGCCACAACGGCCAACGCAGGCTCGCCAAGCGCTGACAACTGCACAAAGCTTTGGACATGTGAGGATGCAACCTTGCGAATCTCTCGGTCCATGTGTTGTGACCTTGGAGAGGGTTTGAAGCAAAAAGTCTTCTGTAACAGGACTCGCTGCAACTAGGTTCCTAGCAGCAGCAACCGCAGGCGCGCCAGTAACATTCCCAGGATGAACACATGCATGTAGCCTCAAATCAACTAACTACCGCAAGTCATCAGTGCAAACACTTTGCAATCCCATACCCAAACTAGGTCTGTCACAGAAAGGGTGGAATTTGATCACAACAACCAGGACGTCTGTGATGTTTCTCATCTTGCCCCAGCTGTGATACTCCTTGGCCATTGAAACTGCAGCTCGCGCAACAGACTACGCAGGGAATTGAGGTTGTGCTCGGGCAGGATTTTGTCATGCATGCGTCTTGCAACCAGGTGTCGTACCAGGTAGCATTCCCATAAAACAGATCTGGTATGAGCAAATAGAGCAAGGGCAAGCTGCACATCGCCGACATGCCAATCACAGCCTTTCCAGGGAGCGGGCCATCAAAAATCCCTAACCCATCAAGAAACAGCTTGGTCCGTGTTGTTGTGATTCGATGGCCTCGTGCAGTTGGACCTGCGATACCCTCCTTGGCAAGCCAAAGCACAGAACAAGTACAGCTTGCAACCACCCTGCGGCACGTATGCAATTTGATCGTCGGTCAGTCTTACTTGTGGCTGAGACACCTCACCAACATGGGGAAGCAGGTCCAGTAGACCACAAGGCAGGACAGGAACCAGCACCTTAGGGTTGCGACATCTGGTGACATCAGGCCTCATGCAGCCGCCACGAGGCCTCTTAGGCAAGCACTGCATTTGCAAGCCTTTCTCGGTAATGAATGGCACCCATGCCTGCACCAGCCAAGCCTGGAAACGTGGCAGGGGTACAAAGAAAACCTGGCCCGTAATCCGTCCGTTTGGCCTGCATGAGAAGTATCCAGCCACTGGGCAAGGTCCCAGATATCATGCCCGAAAAGCCCGCAATCAGCAGGCTGACAGCATACACAGGATAAATGGTGACCTGATTGCTTTCACGCTTCCAGCACACTAGCTGATGTTATGTGCTAAAATAAGCCTCGCACAAATCGTCGGGCTACATACTCATAAGGCTTCTCCTGCAACTGTTGTGGACCCTTGCAACAAATTGCTGAAACGAGGAAAGCGCTCCTGCCGCGGGTGCTTCATCTCCGCTGTGCAAAGGATGAATCCCGAGAGCATAAAGAACCATGGTACCCAGGTGAATCCCCAGTTGCAAGCGTACCTTACAGGAGACATTCGCAGCATTCGCAGAAAAAAATGGATGAAAGGTCTCCCAGCTGCAAGGCAAAGCCAAGCTGCACATCTGCTTCATGGCCCCGGGCTTTGATATGGCCCATCACAACATGGAGGGAAGCCAGATAGCGGGCCAAGCCAAAGGCATACCTCTCACCCTTGGGCATTCGGAAAACCATGTCACTGCAGGAGCTGGGAAGCACAGGCTTTGGGCTGGGAGGTATTTGGGACGCAGGGCTGCTCAAGAGCCGCTGCTCTGAAGCAGCATCTTCACTGGAAGCAGCATCGCTGCGCTGTGCGGTCATCTTTGGAGAATCTGCGGAGCAGGCATCACAGCCAAACTGTCGCAAAACCAGTCAAAATCCGAAATAAAGGAGCTGTCATGGCTACCCAGCCTGCACCCCAATCCTCTGACCACCAGACTGCTGGCTCATCCAGATCAGTGCCAACCTGCCCACAGGCAACATGAGAGGGCCGGGTAATGTTAGCTTGTCGGGGGGCTCATGCCTTAAACGGCAACGTCTCATCCAACATCGCATCAATCTTGAGCGCCTGGCAGGCAGCAACAAATGTTGACAGCACAAGGTGAAGTGCTGATCCGCGCCTTCATGCAAGTTCGCGCGTAGCGAGCGATTAGAATAGCAGCTGACAGGAGCAGCACGGATAGCACCCACTGCGCGAGAACCCGGTCCTCACTTGGATCAAGTTCTGGTGATGCTACGATGCCCCAGGCCGTCCTGTCTGACGTTGATCAACCTCTCCCAGAAGATGAAGCCAGAGGCAGGGCTGCTGGGAAGCGGCTGACCTCCGGGGGCTAGCATCCTCGATGCAACTGCGAAAACCCAATCACTTTACTTTTGGTTCAATGACCTGCACTTCTCCGAAAGGATGGGACGGCCACAACAGGCATTGACAGGACGATCGACCACAAGAGACCCGCACGCGATGGCGGACAGACCAGAAGAGACCCAGCCAGACCAGAATATAGGGGTGAACAGGGGTGGGGGTTATAGGGTTAGGAAATTTGAGGTTAGGCTTCACAGCTTTCAGGGTAAGAAGGTGGGGCTTTGAGGGTAAAAAGTTACGGCTGTCGGGACAGAGGTTCATGGCATTGACTTTTGGAGTTAGGGGTATGGCTGTTAAGCAGCATGGCTTGGAGTCTTTGTGGTTAAGACTCTGTAGTGTGAAGGGCTAGGATTTGCTTTGGGGTTCGGGCTTTTGAGAGGAAACGGGAAAAATGAAACGAGGAATCTGATTTGCTCTCCTGTCTGAAAAATCTCAAGAGGAACGCTAGGACTCCAGATAAGTTTGGCGCTCCTTCCCAATGAGATTGAGATGTCATCAGGACTGTCATAATGCAGAAAAGCAATAAGCCTTCAAGATTTGATGGCTTCTGATGATTGCAAGAGGAACGACAATGATCGGGAATCTGGAGGCTTCGTTCGTTCCGGCTAATGCAAACAGATCTTTCGGAGAAAAATCAAGAATCCAGATGCTCTCGTTCGAATCCTTTTTTCGACTTTATCAGAAATTATTGCTCAAGCAAGCATTAATG